TTTTTTTGTTCAAATTTCAAAATAGTATCTCGAAATTTCGAGATAATTTTTTTTTCTACATATGGCACCAGTGGGCTTCCGTACATTTTCCTTTCACCACCAATATGTACTTTTTGATACAGCGTAACTCGAAAACCGTATGGAATACAAAAAAACCGAGACCACCTCCAGTGTTGGGCTTTACATGCTCTACAAAATGCAAAAAAGAATGGGTCTCTAGCATTAACGGTTCCCGAATTAGAGACAGTTTTCAGTTTCGGTATCTTATGGCCGCTACTCCTGTGAAAATGCACCGATTGACCCCAAATTCACGGAGATGAAAGATGACCTGAAGGGTAACACTTTCCAATAATATTATTGGTTAAGTCTGTGTGGTGTCTGAATAACAGGGCAAAAAAATTTTTTTTCATAAAAAAATATTATTTTTTTGAAAATTTTGGCCCGTTTGACCTTGAAGTAAAGGTCAAAGGTCAAATCCAAGGGCATATTTGAAATCTACACATATGACTTTTGGAAAGCCGTCTGTAGAAATTTTTCCCATAACCCCTTCCGTAGGGTAGATAATTAGCATTTAATTTTGCCATTTTTGGACAAGGGTCCAAAGTGCAATGAGTGCAATGAGTGCCACACCCAGACCCCAATACCGGCAAAGCCCAAATTTTACGTGGAACGAGCTGAGATTATAGGTGACCTAAATCCAAGAGATGGGTACGGGGGCCCTTACCGTCTAGGAGGAGAAGCGGTAACGGTAGCCGTCCGGCGGAACGATCCGGACGAGACCGAAACCATGTGTACCGCCAGCGCTAACGCTGGTGGTACAATAAATAATAAAACTGCATCAAATAGTCGTTTATCGTGTTTTATTTATTCAGAGTAGCATTCATCTGTGCACAAAAACGATGATGGTTCAACCCAGCCTCCCTTCACGTAGATTGAGCACAGCATCTAAAAATAATTAACGTAAATAAATAATACATTATCAAGAAAAAATATTGCCTTAATTTCAAGTGTCTCGATAATTTACAACGTACATATTGCCGCATGACAGCATATATATTTGATCATTAAAATAATACATTTCTTGAGGAATATATTCGGCTGGTAATTTAGCCTTGCACACACACACGCATTTCATCAACTAGATTTAACTACGAACATGTAGCGGGAGGGGCGTGGGAGAGAATGTGCTTTACAAATATCAAAATAAAAAAAACACCTTACCCAAGAACTTCCATCATTCCAAAACCTACGCTATTCAGGAATTTGACAGTTATCATCAAATCCCCAGAGAGGAAATCTGCATTCAACTTTGCCGACTGTAACTTCTTTACTAATAGTATGAAAACTCCTCGATTCTTTTCAATGTGGAAAATTGTGAATTTTATAGATACTCTGTTTTATTTCGTATAATTAGAACATTCCTGTCGACTGGTAACAACAAAATTTAAAAGCAGGTTACTCTATGGTTATATTCTATGCAGTGTGCTACATAGAAAGACTATATAGAAATGCAACTTTTTGTATTTAAAAGTTTGACAATTTTTGTCCATTGAAAAGACTGAGTAATTACCATATTCATCTATCACTGCAATTACAAATATCTCATGCCATACACGTTTATATGTTGAAGGATTAATGCCTAAAAAAGACAAATAATAGTCATTACATAACAAACCATCATCTGTATAATACTTTGCCCTTATCTATTAATATGAGCTGTGGCAGTTCAACACATTGCCTAATAAATTTTCAGCAACAACTGAAATTCTATGCTAATATATATTATATAAATATTGACTCCTGTTTCCATGCATTTTACCTTGTATTCAGGAGCTATTCTTATGCTTACATTCTCCAAACTGAAACGATGCTACATGTGCTGTCAAAAAATTTTAAAAATAAATAAATAAACAATTCCAGGTATTGTATTAACCTTAACTCATTCAAAAATATATCTGTATTAATATAAATTTAATAAAATTTGTGAATATTAAAAATATTTAAACCAGAGCAGTTAATGAAAATAACACGAAAACTACCTAGTACCAAGAGTTACAACATTGAATATCTAGTTTAAAGGTATAATTTTCCTAAACAAGCTGGAAAGCATATTACCTAAGTACCCACATTCAACTATCCTCTAAATTAGCCACTGACGACAAAAAAATCCCAGATATCTTTTTAAATATAGCACCAATACAATTATACTTCATATTCTTATTATAACGTTGATCTAGTGAGCTACCAATAATAATTTTAATACCACTAACATTTACACGTATCTACACTGGACACTTTTTAGCACACATCACACGAGTATTCATACAGTGCAAGAAAAAAAAAGCACGAAGATAAAAATACATCCATTTTGTATTAGTCACCTGTTGAGCTTATTAATTACCATAGCACTATTTTTATCTAACAGTATTTGCACGTGAAAGGTTTCCTAGCCTTGGAGAATGGCTATATGGATAAATTAGTATCTCGCTGCATCTTGACCACAAAGAAATCACAAGTTCTACACTGTATTGATAGTGCTGTTAATGAGATTGCAGTTGTTAGTCCATTGAAAAAGTGACTTCCAAATAATCATATGTTATTATCTTCCATTTTATACTGAGGCCGTTTAAAAGGCCTTTCTGTTTTTCATTTTCTTTTTTTGAGAGCATCACTTCAAGTAATGGTCCTCAGAATAAAGCCTAATTCAAAATCAATTTAATCAATATAATTTTATAACCCATCAATTTACTGATCATAGATTAAAATCGACTTTACTTGTTTGATACAATCTTCTATCTTAAAATAATATTTCTGCCAGCATAATCCTGTTACATTAGATATCCTATTTACAAATCCCTGGTTTGGTCAACACACTCTCTTCAGTTTGATTTTAGTTATAGATACAAAGTTATTTTTATTAAAATACATTGTTTCTTTTCCATCTGTGATCTCATTGGTCTGTTTTCTTGCAAGGTGATGGCAGCGGGGTACTGGTGGCCTCGGGCTGCTGCTGTTGCACACGATGAAGTTCCTGGGAAAGTTTTTCTATGTCCTAGAAAGAAGGTAACGCAAGTATAAGATAACGCATAACAACAACATCAACAGTATTGCCAATTTCTTCAGTTCTTCAGTTCCCTCCTTTCCTAAACTTGGAAACAAGAGGTAGGGCAAGTAATCAAATTTGCAGCAACTGAAGCTGTGTGCACACAAAAGAATGCCTGCGTGATTACCTTTAAACAGTCCAACTCTTCAAACAAACAGCTCAGAATCCAATTAAAGATGCCACAAATACATCCTAATTGTGATAAGATCAAAACTCAAAGGGCAGAAAAACCTTTCATTTGCTTTACTCTCCAAAAAACCTCTGTTTCCGATGTAAATCTCAAACATGGACCAGTAAATAATTACCATGAACAAGCAGCTCATTAAGTTAGATAATCCCCAATGAATGCCAAGATGTAGAATGTTTACTGAGAGAATGCAGTTTGTGTCCTACCATTGAATGCAGCACCACTTTCTGTATAAAAAGCACTTTCCCAAAGAGTTTAAAATAGAAAATTGTGAAAATTGACCAGGGCTTTGGCTGTCCTAGAGCTGGACTAATTTACACTATCTGAGATCTCACGTCCAATTTGATCATGTCAGTGTTAAGAAGTCATTATCCTTGGGCAAGTTGTCTGAATCCCTGTGTGTGTGTGTGTGTGTGTGTGTGTGTAAGTGCGTGCATGTGAGTGTGTTAAACAGAGACTTGACAAACAAGCCCCAAGACAATAGGTCTACCCCTATAGAAGGGAAAGTGGATTTAGTTTACAAAGAAGACCCGAGGGTACTGTGACCTTTGACCTCCAGTTCTACCTGGCTGCACATGTGACTGGTCCAATAAACTTCAATCAAAACTGTAACTGAATGTCACAGTCCAATGAGGGTGCAGACGCTAAGGTTTGAAAATTAAGACACAGGCACATTTTGAACTTGAAGATAAGGGTAGTCTGCAGAGCCCTTCTGAAGACATATTTGACAATATCTGTACATTGCAGCGATATAATCTGCATTCAACTCTTGACTCATATATCACAACAATATCACCTATAAACTGACATACATATACCGACAATTCCACGTGCATTCACATACCAGCAAATTGCTTCAAACATGAAATGAGTGGATATGATATCTCTGTATGTTATAAATATAATAAATGTCAAAATGTTATAAGAAAGACAAAGCCAGTGCATATTATTCTGCGTGTATTTTTATAAAAAGTAAACAGTTTTTGAGAGAGAGAGAGAGAGAGAGAGAGAGAGAGAGAGAGAGAGAGAGAGAGAGAGAGAGAGAGAGAGAGAGAGAGACCACTGTACCCTCTAATTATTAACCATGTACATATTTTATATTTAAAAAAAATTTAAAAAGCTGTTTTGGAAAAGACAGTGACATCACTTTGTACCCACCATAAACCAAACCCAGTACATATTTATAGATCAGTGAGCTATTCTAGGCTGAGTTCTATTTATACATTCATGCTGCATTTGGTTCCCTGTATACAAACACTCCTGTTTGGCTAAGTAGCAAGAATCACATCACTGACTGCATGTATTCTTCTGGGAGAGAGATGTGTTACAGACTACCTGGATTTGTCTGAGTATGCCTGCCTGGGGGAATGCAACTAGTGAGGGGCAGGGGGGGGGGGTATTATTATTTTTCCTTTCCTTTTTATTTTTTTATTTTATTTTATTTTTTTGACACTTTTTACATTTGTAAATTTATTTTCTGTCAGCACAAAGACATACTGCTATCTCAGTGTTATATCAAATTCATGAATTAGTGTTCATTATTGCAAATATATAATTTTTGGGGTGTATTCCTAAGACACTTTTCTATACCACATACAGCAGGGGTGCGCTAACACTCCCCAAATTAACCAAGTGCTAAAACTGACTAAATTGGATAAACAAAATAAGGTTGATTCTGTTTGGAGACAAAAGTGATGAAAAAGTAGTGATTTGGCTAAGGAAAAAATTGCTAGCTCTACCCCAGTGGAGGGTCCATTCTGGTGATATGTCAGTTTTCTAAGAACTTTTCCAACAAAATAACCAGGCCCTAAAGTTACCAATCTCTCACAATGAAGTGATACAGCAACCTGTTTTATCCAAAGTTTACAAAGTTTGGCCTCATTTTTTCTTTTTTTTTTTTTAATAATTGTTGAAATGCGTACCTCTTGCAAATGCATGTTCTTGGTCAGCGTTTCCTCTACCATCCTCTGCAGCTTTCTATTGGTCTCCTTAAGGTTCTCGTCCCCTTTGTTCTTCACAAAGTCAACCACACGGTTCAGTGTTAGTTTCTCATCTTTTGGAGTGTGGACATATTCTGAAATCAAACCATGTCATAGTACTGGTAAGAATTTACATAACTAACAAAATGTCTGTTATTCCTCTATTTTGTTGAAAAGGAATTTTTCAAAATAGCATACTTTCATTTCATCAAATTGAAAAAAAAGAAAAGCAAATTTGATCAATATTTGATCAATAATAATAATAATAATAATAATAATAACAGTTTAAATGAACCCTAACTGCTTACCTGGTCTTCCTTCCTTGACATAGTGGTCAATGACAGCCGTCTTCTGGATGAGGTCTTCCGCCATGGCTGCGTTACTAGATTCCAGCATGTTGACCTAGCACAGGACAAGATATACACTTCAATATCAACATTTATGGTTTGATTTGTCCCCTTGTTTGATACTGAGATAAAGATGATTAGAAATAAATCCCACATGAGCTTACGTTTAAAACAGAGTGCAGTAAGACCTTATCAAAAGGGAACTAATGTGAGCTATCACTGAAGTCACCTACTTGTGACATTCATAACGCACAGGAAAACCTTTTTACTCAAAGTTGAGAGACTTTGACAATGCTCCCTTGTGATAAAAATTACACCTATGAAATTATGCCAACTGACCCCAAAAAGGCAAAAAGGTATTTTGTGACCAAACATCAAAGTATGGAGGGTGAACAACTTCTGTTAAAAAGCTGCAGTGCTAAGACACACCTACCTGTGACCCACCAGTCACCCATGATGTGACCGACCAACCTATGACAATTACTGTGCCTACCCTCCTATGAACCAGCCAAATGTGACCAACCTGCTTCACACCTGTGACCCATGCTGTCACCCACCCTCCCACCCATCTCTGACCCACCCATGTTATACACCTACCTGTGAACCAGCCATCTGTTACCCACGCTGTGGCCCACCCACCTGTTATACACCTACCTAAGAGCCACCCACCTATGACCCACCTGCCTATGACCCACCTGCCTTTGACCCATGCTTGACCCGCCCCACCCACCTGTTACCCACACTGTGACCCACCCACCTGTTCCTGCAGGTTCCAGTTCTGCTGCTGTAGCTCTGCCACCCTGCACAACAGGTCATTGTTCTCCTGGGTCAGGGACATGGGACTGGACACACTGCCTTCATCTGGGGACTGGAACAGCAACATTAATACACAACTCAGTGTATGTGTGTGTATGCACATAGTGTGTGTGTATGTGCCTATGCACGTTCTGTGTATATGTGTGTGTGTGTGTGTGTGTGTGTGTGTCAGCTAGAGTGTGTGCACGTGACTTGGTCATTTCAATCCTTCTTCACTACTGTCATAAATATTCTAAACAATCATAATCTGTCTCTTTTGCTCGCTCTCTCTCTCTCTCTCTCTCTCCTTCACATCAATCAATCAATCAACCATCTCTTGTGTAAAGGCTGTTTTTCAAGCACCCTCTTCAGACCTGTACACAGACACATTTTCCTACCTGAGACGCGCTGTAATTGGAATTACTTAACGTATCCTTGTTGCCACTTATGCCACTCCATGAAGATATTGAGCTGAAATGGAACAGCCATCTCTTTATCTCTGTCTCCATTATTCAGAGAACCACTTAAGCTAGTTGGAGTGAATAATGTGTCATCATTGGACCACAAAATCAAATTAACTGGGATTTAACTTGCTTAATGTGTTGTGGGATATCTGGGAGTCTACGAGGAGAACCAACTAGTTCTTAGTGTTTAATTGTCAATGCTAAAAAACTGCTTAGGAGTCTCAAATTATTGGACTGATGTTTATTGGTTTATCCAAGTAGATTTATAAATAACAAGGCTAGTCTTTGTCAACTCCATACAAGAGTAGGATGCAATTGAGAATTTGTTCAAGTTGTCATCTTTAAGCCAGAGTTTTAACTTTCATGTTTCAAATATTCAGTACTAAAAGCACTGAACAATGGATTCATACCTCCCACGCACACTGTCTCGGCAGTGGCAGAGCAATTAAAACTTGGCTCTCCTTCAAGTGGGACTAGTTAGTCTTCAGATCAACTGGTTCTGAATGTGCGCTTATACACTTTACTAATTAGCCAGTTTTAACAAGTGCCACTCACCCATTGTCTCCTTTGTGTCTTGACTCTGGATCTTTACCCATCAACAACTCTTCTGCAGCTGAAAATATAAACAACTACTTCAGTACTTGGAGATAAAATGTACAAAATAATCAACACATTTACATGTTCAGTACAATAATATTCCATTCATAAGAAAATAAAATCACATTTGCAATTAACATAAATTGACTTGCACACAACACAAGTAAAATTCGACCAAGAAAAAGTCACATTATCAATTATCATAACTAAATGACGTTTGCACAAGGCAAAATTTCTCTAAACAATTTTCGACCAGGAAAATGTGATGGATTTCTAACAGTTTTTTTTTTCCTAATGACAGGGATGTGCAACACAGGTGACCGTGCTGACACCTGTTGAGCAAGAGCAGTGGCAGATGATCATCTATGCAGTCAAGAGACCCCATTTTTTACTGAACACTTCATCACTTTAAATGCTATAAAAAATAATTTCTTCCCTAATAAAAGACATTGCCAGGGACAGGCCAAGGTTGAGAGATCGCTGCCTCAACACAGAGTTAAAAGAATCAGGTATCTTGGTAGGTGAAGTAGGCATGAAGACGCAGAGATAATCTTGCACTTTGCCAACAGGGGGATCCACCTACCTTGTCTCCCTCCTTTACTTTCAGACACTAACTTCTGCAGCCTTTCTTGTAACTTTTCACCCCTTTTTCTTTCTGCGTGCAGTTGTCTTTTAAAATCTTTCAGCTGAATAGAAAAATTGATAAAGAGTTAACAGTGACAGGACTGGATAGTCAAAAATCATCAACATTCACATGTTGATTTGTTAGTTAACAGTCTCACTCAAAAGATTATTAACTATTTTGATAAAATTTTCAGGACAAGTCAGAAATGGACTAACTTAGATTTTGGTGCATCCCATTAATTATCAATTAATTAATCAATTATTTAATAAATAATCAGAATTAAGCTTTTCCTTGGTAGGTGGTGCTAGTGAAGTAATCAGTCCTGTACTCACTGTTGAGGCGCCCTTTTTCTCATGAATTCTCATCTCTTCCTCTTTATCCTTGATTTGCTGTGAAAAAAACATCATTTAAAAACTCTTTATAAATTTCTGTTTTGTTTTATCAATAAGTGAAAATTGTAATATCTTTTGTCTAGTCACAAAACTACACTGGAATGCATCTCTAAGTAGTAAATGACACAGACTGGAATCAATTTTTTACTAATAATTTTTTGCCTTTGAAATCTGTCAAAAACAGCTTTATTTCTTTTATAATAGTTTCGAGCAAAGTGTCAATCAATGCATATTGCAAAAATCAATCCTCCCTCCAAACTAAAAAAAAAAAGGTAAATATAAATGAATAAAATGAAAGCAAACCCAACAACTAGAAATGTACCTGTTTCAGATTGTCAATGGAAATATTCTGCTCTTGTTGTTCTTCAGTCAATGTCTGTATCTTGTCCTCCAGTTCCTACAACATGTGAACAAGGCAGCAAAGCTGTCAAATGTACAGACAAAAAACAGGAAATAACTATGCACAAAATAGGCTACTGTCAATTCTGATGCAAAAATACATTATGTTAAACTGCAAATTCAACATCAAATTTTAATTATCCTCAACAGGTAATACCAATGTAATTAAAATATGTGACAAGTTTACACTTTGAAAATGTATAACTTCCAGAAAAAGAAGTCACTTATACTGCTTTTCCAACTCAGACTGCATTTTAGTCCTGTATTTCTTTTTTGAAAGTTTGGCAATCATAAGTAACATGGTTTTCCCATAATGGTCATCATGGCAGCAGCACCCAAAATTGTGTTTTCTTCTATTCNTTTTAGTAAGATTGATTACTCCTGTGAGTTTCATGACAACAGGCCTAACGGTTTTCCTTAAAATGTGTTTACAAGGTTGCATATATGCTGAAAAGTGAAAAAACAGCATAACTTCTACAATAATGGCCCGATCATGCTGATTTTCAAACTTGACCTGCGTTTTATGAATATTCATCAGCTCTGTAAATATAAAGCCAAAAAGTAAAACTGCCTTCCACTTATCGTGTTTACAAGGAAAGTGCACAGCGACGGCATCGGCATCGCCATCGGCATCGGCATCGGCGACGACAGACGCAGGTGATGGCAATATGTACAGACACATCTGTGTCTGTACATAAAAAACATGCAAATTGCTCTTAATAGGAAATCAGAATTGAAAGTGGAATTTTTAAAATAAAATTCCAGAAAATGCAACCGCTGAAGGCGCACAGCTCTATATGACTTTGGAGGTCGTAAATACAACTCCCAAATATATAGGTTTTCTAACTTATCCAGAAGACTTATATCTCTAGCAAAATTCACTAGTGAAAAGTTTGTTGACACAGTTCATGTCTTAATGACTCCTTGTTGTATTCAGGACAGCCAACTTTACATCTCTCTACAGGCACAGGCCTCTTTACTTCATCATTTTATTAATGGAAAGACACACTATAGGCTAAAGAATTGTTGGTATAATACAGTCACACTGACAACATAATGTTATATAATTTAATACTGTATTTTTTTTTATCCCCTGAGAAGAATGAATTTTCTTTTTTTTAAACACTATACAGGCACACAATGCACATAAAACCTTTATGAAGCTTGTAAAAAATGGGAAATTTAAGCAACTTTCCCCTTATCCCCTAGGTGCTATCCATGCCATTGAGAAAATAACTTTCTATTATAATTACAACAGTGGGATAGTAAGCTGGCTGACATACCTGCTGGATGGCTGCTTGACTCTGCCTCAGACTATTATAATTACAACAGTGGGATAGTAAACTGACTGACATACCTGCTGGATGGCTGCCTGACTCTGCCTCAGACTCTCTACTGTGTTCGCATGCTCGTGACTGCTTGTTTCTAACTGAGATTCATAGTTGACCTTTGTTGCATCTAATTCTTCCTGTTTAATTGTGAAAAAATGGTATTTTTTAATGACATAAACAAAAGAATTCTACTCATCATTTTCAGTTTAGGATAGAAAGTTAAAGTATTCATAAGAGATGATATCAATTTAGAATGGCTTCAGTCAATAGGAAATGAAGGTTTGAGTTATATCCAGGAACTTATTAACAAGTTGAGTCACCTCTACTTCCTGAAGCCGTCGCTCCAGCCATCCTTTTGTGTTGTCCAGGGACTGCACCTGCTCTCGTAGCTGCTCCACCTCAGGTTTAAGCTTTTCCAGTTGAGACACTTTAGTCTGGAAATCAGAACAATCAAATCATGATGAAATAATGAATGTTTCCAATCACTTCAAAAATACTGCCTGTTTTGTTTCAAAGTGTGTTTGTGTGTGTTTGTGCTTGTACATGCCCATGGGGAGTGTAGACATGAATGCATGTGTGCCTGAGGTCTGCTTTTTTTGAGAGAGGACGAGAGAGAGAGAGAGAGAGAGAGAGAGAGTGAGAGAGTGAGAGTGTGTGTGTGTGTGCCAGTATGCATGTACATGTGAGCGCCTGTCCACCAGTGATTCATTCGAGGTTTCCTACAATGGGCATCTGTGTTCTCACACTTCCTTGTACCCATTTGTTGCACAAAAGGTATAAACTAAACTGAAATATTCTCTTGATAACCACTGCCCCCTATCCTACTTTCCTCACCTTCTCCTCTGTCAACTGTGTAGCTAGCTGTGACAGCTCCACCTGGTGGCTGTCCTGAAGACGTCCCACCTCCTCCCTGTGTTTCTCACTCTCCGCCTGGTATTTGATGGCCAACTCATCCAGCAGCTGCTTCCTCTTCTCTGCTATCTACAGGGGGAATTAGAACAGACTTAAAGGTAAAGTGAGTGAATTGATGGCCAGCTCATCCAACAACTGCTTCCTCTTCTCTGCTATCTACATTATTTATTAAATTATTTGTTGTTATGTAAATCAATACTAGTAACTAAGGTCAAAAAAGTATCAGCCATCAAAAGTCAATATTATTAGACTATGCTTCAATCTTTAATGACTGTTGCAAAAATTAAGCTCAAAATGGTTTCTAATTAGTAACTAATTCAATAGCTTACTTTGCTAGCCTCTTGAAGAGCCTGGTTTTGGGTATCTCTCTCAGTCTCAGTGTCACTAAGCTTCTGCCCCAGGGTTTCTTTCTCTTTCTGACTCTCCTAAATATTTGTAAATTAAATAAATGCCTGACAATAAAATTATTTGAATATGATCAAATGTGCTCTAAAATTTTTAATCTTCATGAAGTTAAGACATAAAGAAGGAAGTATTCCCTGTATATATTGGCATGCCACAGTTATTTTAACTTTGATTGAAAATTTTCATGAAAACTTAATAACTTTCTACACTTGCCCTCCTTGATCAAATTTTGGCATATCTGTATTACCTGTTACTGCTTACCTCAAGTTGTTTACAGACATCCTCCTTCTCCTGCTGTAGAGCTGTTATAGATTTCTGCAGCTCTGAAATCTCCTGTTGGAACTTGCTGGTCTGGGCCTCTAACTGGTGAAGCTGCTCCTCACTGGAGGAATTGACCTGTTTGGGGGAGTATTTAATTAACATAATTTATGACTTCAATAGGAAATGACATTTGGAAATGAGTCACTGCCCTTCCCTGAACGAAAATATGCATATAAACTACCAAAAGACAAATTTCTGACATGTTAAATATAAAATAATTGGCTGAGATTGTTTTATCACAATCTGATGATACTAATGCATCATGATTGTTCATAGTTTGATTAATTAAAAACCATATAATATCTAATTCTTTGACTAAACCAAAGGTCAAAGACTGAACATACACTTCCCATACCTGACTCTGAAGAGAGGAAACTGTTTCTTGCAGCTCTGTTATGGTTTGACTGGATTGGGATTTTTGTTCTTCTAGCACCTAAGAGAACAACCAATAAGGATCTTCGGTTAATCATTTCTAGTTGTCTTGACAACAAACATCAAAAATAGTTCTTGAGAACATCAGTAGAAATAAGAGTTAAGTCCACCACTACATTAAGTGTGGCTGCTTGTGTTGCTTGAGCTGCTGTTGTGAAAAAATAATCATTTTATGTGTTCAGCATCTACAATACACTAGAGCTCATGTGGATACTTGGTGGCAGTAACATATTTTACCTCTTTCATCTTCTCCAGTTCTTCCTTGAGTTTGGCAATGTGATCTCTGAAGTATTTGTTGTCTCTCTCTTTACTGGCCTGAAGTTCATCTATCTTCTGACTGGAAACATAGAAATTGTCATTTGTGAAACAAGTATATACAAAATATTTTACCTTAAATTCTCTCCTTTGGGTCGTCACATCTTGAAATAAGAAAAAACATATGGAGAAAGTGACTAGAATACATCATGTTTGACTAAATCACCCCATGTGAGAAGTTCTCTGTGTTGTTGGCCTATAAACTTTGTGGAACATATGGTATAATTACAGCACACTTAAGGCCTCACCTTGTCTCTCTGAAATGAACCTCTTTCTCTTCCTGGAGTTTACAAAAACTGTAAAATATGAAATAAAGTACATTTTAGCAGGAACGCTAAATTGTGTGAATATGAAAATTTAAGAAATTTCTGATAAGACAATAAATGAAAGAAATTTCTTTAAAACTGCCCATATAAAGCTCCTATAAAATACTTTTCCAATTTACCAACAGAAAAAATCATATAATGTAATTATTTAAAAATCAGTACCTTAAAACATTTTGACAATACATGTCACACATACCTTTCTTGCTTCTTTTTTAATTTTTCTTGCATCTGAAATAATTAAATGTACATGCATATACTATCATCTCATTCAGTTCTAAAAGCAAACTCAAAAAATGAAAAAAAAAATCCATCAAACAATAACCCATGTTCACCATTGTGACATAGGCTTTTATCAAACTTTGATTGAATTTCCTTTTAAGACTTCATCAACCATTACTCACCTTGTCTACCTCTTCTTGTAAACTGTTGACCTGATCCAACCTAGACTTCTACAGAAGGAAAAAAGTTCAATTTAAAATCCAGATTTTTAATCTTTTCTGTCATTTTGGTCAAGAATTATGGGGGTTTAGTGGATGAAATAATTGTACAATTATTTATGTTTGAAATCTAGGGTATCTTTTTGACGAATCACAACAAAGTCCCATTCCTATTATTAAGGGCATGGTTTTTAAAATCTTATCATTAACTTTTATATAAAATTGACAGAAATAGTTATCCTCTCTATGACAGAAGTACATCCAAATCTTTTATATCAATATATAATATAGAAAAGTTTAGGCAAGTTTTGGATGGGGACAGTTAGTTGATACGCTATCATAAAATTTAACTTTTCAAATCTTCAGACTTTTACCTCTAGTTCTTCCAACTGTTGTTTCAGCATATTGTTTTCTTCTTTTTCTGTGTCTAAACTTAGTCTCAGACCTGAGAAATAGAATAGTTTAGATGTTGGAACAATGACAGAGAGAGAAGGGGGGTAGTAAATATGAACTACTTCCAACATTTGACCATTTTTATAAATTTAAATCAATTATTTTTTTGCTAACGTGTGTGTGTGTGTGCGCGCGCGCGGGCATTTGTGTTTTTAGGCACACGTGTACAATTGCTTTTTGTTTAAATCCCAACTCACTGCTATTTTCTTGAATGTATTCTTCTAATTTGTGGGACTCCACATCCACAGATGGAGCAGACTTTTGAGGCAAGACATCTGGAAAAAAATGAAAACAAAAAAGATCTAAAGTCAATAGCAAACACTCAACACACTCAATACTCGAAACTCAATAGCAAACATTTACTGGTTTGGGTCTAACACGCAATATTGGACCACCAAACTATTCCATATCTCAGTGAGAACAATAACCTGGGGATCTCTGAGAGCATTCACATCGAGAAGAGCCGAAGTCTAGCAAGGCCAAGACCTAAATATGGCGGACCTAAGTGAAAGGAAGGCCGCGTAATCTTTTAATGGTCTCTCAATGAATGTCACAGACAGATGTGAATGCTCTCTCTCTGTATGTCATGAGTCTGGTTTTAGGCTATCTCCAGGGATTTTCATTAAAATAGCAGTAGAATGGGTTTCTTTACACAAAGAAGTTTAAACTTATGGCAGCAAAACATGACAGCCTGAAGCCATGAACATGAATCATTACCAAGCAAATATCAGAAACTCTCATTCTCAGTTCTGACTCTACTTACCTGGGGGATTGGTGGGGCTAGCAGCAGTGTCACCACCTATAGCTGCTTCTACAGACCCATCACTGGAATCACATAAAATCTCTATATTATTGTTATATATATATATATATGATTTATATAATACACTTTTACACTGTGTTTGTTTCTTTTGGTTAAGAAGCCAAGCCCTTAGGCAACAACTTAGGTGAAGGGTTCCTTTCATTGCACATTTTCTAGTCAAAAGGAGGGTTATTTAGACCTCTTGAACATCTGCTTTCTGACCCAAGAGCTGCATCCTGTAACCCTCTCCACGACATAATACTGCATCAGTAATATAATTCAGCTAACTAAGTATTTATAAGAGAACAGTTTCATTATCTCTGTATGTATCAATTCAAATTATTGTTTTTCTTTTTATCAAGAGCTTGTAAAATATGTGTATTACTATATTCTCATTCCAGGTGAAATGACCCTAGTCATTTACTCCCTGATGATGGTGACTGACAGTCACAGAAATATAGAGGTAATACCCACATATTTTACAAGCTCTTGATAAAAAAAAACAATAATTTGAATAAGTATTTATAGTATTTCAAACTTGAAAAATTGAATATCTAGAAGATTTGTCCCCATCATGGTATTATTTCAATACTACAAAACAAGTTGGGAGGAAAGAAAACTACAATTTACCAAGAATCATGTGTGTTGTTTACAGTGCCAAGGTCTCCAAGGTCACCAAGGTCAACGTCCTGCATTGACCTCTGACAAGTCAACTGCTTCAAGTCTGAAATCTCTTTCTTATATTTCTCTTGGTCAGCTGGAAAATAATAAACAAAAAACATTTTATATCCTTTATTAGGTTTACTGAAACCTAAAAATTGCTTTACTAAACATACACTAGAAATACATAGTAAAAAGTTTAAGCCTAATAAATGACAAAATAAAAAATAATTTACAATTAGTAGGGTTTCAAACTTATTTGCTATATACCTTATTTTACTTTGAGTCTAGGATCCATAAAAATCAAAGACTAAAATGCTACAGTACATGTATTTTACAAATATAATCAATGACAGCTTATCACATTTTAAAACAACAAAAATAGATAAAGAAAAATATATTAATAATGAAAAATTTAGACCTTAAAATGTGCCTTTCTGAACTTACAAATAAGATTTTTCTGCAGCGCTGCATTCTGAGCCTGAAGACGTCTGATTTCATTCTGTAGCTCCAAAACCTCCCCGCTGACTTCTTCACTCTTCACACATTTTTCTTTCTCCGCCTCATTTCCCTGGAGGCTCTGGAGTTCTTTCTCCAGTTTTTCATTTGTTGACACTAACTAAAATTGGAACATTCAAAGTTACAATGGAACAATTACAAGTTAAAGACATGATGTGCTTATGATAAGTGACTCTATACTGTAACAAGCACAAAAAAAGGAGAGAAAAAAGTGAAGGCAACATCCTGAACCTCTGCAGCATTATGTAACTGGAACTCACAGGCAATCTAAATGATTTCACATTGTAAGTAAGGTAATTTTAAAGTAAGTCTGAATTTTAGTGTTGTAATTCTTATGAATTTTATATTTTAATTGAAAGTGCATTGAACTGGGTTAGTTCAAATGGAATGCACTATACAAGAAAAAAAATATTATTAATAATATATTAAATATTATTATTGTTTATATAACTGACCATTCCCAATTCCTGCATCAGGGTGGTATTTTGTAGCCGGAAGTCTTCCTCCTGGCTGTGAAGTTTTCCTTGAAGAATGTCATTTTCTTGAACAAGAAGCTCTACTTCCTGTGTCGAGACAAAAAGAATCTTTTCATAAACTTTTAATAAGTATGTTCTGGGATAAAATGAAAGAACAAACTTGATGAAAGTGAGAAATATAAAATTCAACTTTAGGTCACCCCACTGACTTTTCATTTTTAGCATCCATTTTATTTCATTTAATATATTCTATACATTATGGCTTGGCTTTTCCATTGGAAGAGTTGCTAGTTTATCTTTTCTCCTTGGTTTAACAAACAATAGCATTTACCTTTGCCTTTTTACTCTTACTTATGGCCTGAAAAAAAGTAAAAAAAGAATCAAAATATGATTAATAAAATTAAGGTATAGACAAATCCTTTATATTTTAATCAATTTATACCTTCATTCCAGAGAGTCATTTATAGTTTAGAATTCATCTTTAAGTAGAACGATCTTACGCATGAAAACTTAACATATTCCCAGATTATTTATCCTACTAATCCTTGGTGTTCCCTTTCTAGGTGATCCAGAGCACAATTACCTTATTGGCTTTTTGTAGATCTTTGTCAAGTTCTGCAACACGGGTCTTCAGTTCTTGTAATTCTGAAGAATTGAAAATTTAAAAGATTTAAATTTTCTACTGATTTCTAGAAATATGGGCAAGTATTTGATGTTTGCCAAGTCTCTGCAAAAATATACTAAGTGAAAACTTTTAATATGTAATAAACAAATGTGTATGTTAAATAAGGAATGTTATTCTCAAAGTCCAATCACACTTTCTGGAGAAAGAATTTTGTTTAGCATTTAATGTGTTCATGAATTGTGTAGGGTAAAATTGTACTGAGAAGTTTAAAAATAAATATTATCAATTAATACCACTGCGAAGTGGGTGATCGTATCTATGTGAGACGTTTTACATATTATGTAAAAAAAAAAAAAAAATTAAAGAAAAAGTGAATACCTCTGTCTTTCCTCTTGCATTGGTCCTCTAAAGTGTAGTTTGTTGTTCTCAATTCAATCAACTGAAGCTATGCATAAAGATAATAAAGAACAAAAATTAACATCGACTGCATGTTTAAATAAAATATAGAGCTTTGACGCAACATGCCATTAAGGGATTTCAACTATGTGAAGCAAAAGGTAAGGCTGATATAGTGATACCTACTTTTACACTAACTTGATGATTTTCATCTACCGTAATCAAACAGATGTTATCAAAGCTGGTGATGTGTAAATATGTACAGCACTAAATACATCTGAGAGCATATAACACACAAGAAATTACGATGCTCAATTCCGACAACATATTGAAACATGCATTCTTAAATTCGAACAAATTCAAAATTATAATACGAGGTTTTTAAAACAGTCCTTATCATAAAAGCACATTAAATTCATTTTATACACTGCATGAAAACAGTAAGCTCTTATTTAAATAATTCTTAAATATTTCTATCGATATTGAGTATTATATGTATATTTAGTTGTTTACCTGCATCCGATGGAATTCATCATCCGTCAGACCTTCTGGCTTGCTGGCCATTTTTCAGCGATTCGTGAGCTTCAGATATTTATTATTCTCGTACAGTTTATAGTATACCCATTGGCACTGTTATTCAAACAAACGTTACATGCTTCAAATGTACAAACCCGTGAGCAAGTTCAGATATTTGCAAAAAAAAGTTACGAGCCGTCCACGATTTAGTTGTAAAAAAGCAGACTGCTTGAGATAGCACTGGAACCTGACGAGAGACAGACCTCAGGAGACCACACAATAGCCCTGACAGACCACTGGATGTATAACCTGTAGCAGAATTTATGTAGAGATTAAAATAACTTTGTTTTTGATACATATTGCACTTCAGAATAATCGTAATTTCAACTACCACAGCAGAGATAGATCTAAAGAATATACTTTTCATACATTCATTTTCTTATCTGAAACTCTTCTGGACATTGTGTTAAAGTTACTTTAACTTTAAAACAACATTTCTGGAAACGTAATTTTCATCTTTTTTTGTGCTAAAATGTGAGCAGAAAATTAAAATCTAAGAAAAATGAAATGTTTTTGCCTAAAGTCAGAAATAAGTCTAATGAAAAATCTGGTGTCTCTTGAGACATATCTTTCAATGTAATGCCAAGCCTTGTCATTTCCGCTATAGACACTGGCTCATCTTGACTAATTCCAATATGTCTGAAGTGGCTTCGTAAGCTGACGTCCCATTAATTGTTTTTACATTGATCTACCCGAGAAGAGGACAAGTACTGAAACACATTCCACATGTCACACCAAAGTGGAACAGACGCAGATGAGGTTTATGACTATCTCTTTAAGATTGTGCTGATAGGAGATGCAGGGGTCGGGAAGACGTGTGTGGTCCAAAGATTTAAGTCGGGGACGTATACAGAGAAACACGGAAGCACAATTGGGGTGGATTTCACCATGAAAACACTGATGTTAGACGGGAAAAAGATAAAGGTAGCATATGTCTCTTTTGCTTAGCCTAAAATCTGTAATTCCACGTATAATTAACATTTAACCTTTACAATCATAGTGGCACATTGCTGAAATAAACAACATATTTTGATTAAAAGTGAAACAACTTAGATACAGTTTTTTTAATTCGTTGGCCTATTTATAAAACAAAATAATGTTATTTTAGGCTTTTTCACATTTACTTATTACCACATGTTCAGCTTATCTCTTGGAAATTTTCAACAAAAGAGGCAAGTTTATGAACATGCAGTTTTTTACATTTCTGTATTATCCCAATATGGATTTATGCAGTCAAAACGGGTTGACTGGCAATTTCTTATACGTTACCTTATAGATAATGGTAATCTATTGCAATTATCAATCTGTGGTGACAACAAATACTTAATTGTTCTACACCTATAGTGTTTTTACAATCTCTTAATTTCAATGAGACACAAACTGATCCAGATTTCCCCTTGTCTGAATACACCTTAATAGTGCTGTTTACATTTTCAGCTCCAGGTTTGGGACACTGCGGGCCAGGAGCGCTTCCGGACAATAACCCAGAGTTATTACAGGAGTGCCAATGGCGTCGTGGTGGCATATGATATTACGAAGAAGGAAAGTTTTAACAATGTGTCCCGCTGGTTGGAAGATGTCAGGAAGTATGCAGGGGGCAGTATAGTCAAAATATTGATAGGTAGGGACAGTACGGGAGAAAAACTTGAGTTTTCACACCCTCACTCCTCATTTCTACCATGTAAGTTGATCTTCTTGGTGTAATAAGGTTTTTTCTAAAAGCTATTAAAGACTACATAGTTAAAAACTGAAAGTAATCATCATTATCAAATTGATATTATTTAAAACATTTTCCTTTTTGTCACTTTCCAGGGAACAAAAGTGACCTTGAAATGCACAGGGAAATTCGATTTGCCAAAGCAAAGGAATTTGCCAGCAATAATGAAATAATTGATGTTGTAGAAACAAGTGCCAAGGATAATTCAAATATTGATGATGTTTTTCTCAAAATTGCCAAGGTTTGTTGTTATCTATATTTTCCACAGGAACTGTATACAATTGTGCACCAACTTCTTACTTGCTCATATTTTTTCTATCTGTATAGACCTGTCTATGTTGTGCTGGATAAGTGTAATCCAGTTTGTTGTCAGCTTTATTGAAAAATTGATTGGTAACTATATAAAGGTTAGGACCACATGTGGTAAAATGATCTAATGAAATAATGCAGTCAATAACATTCATTACTTATAATGTTGAAAAAAATTATTTTTTAAAGGGATAATCATGATAGAAACTTCCAATTGTTAACTATAAATGAACATGATGAAGAATAATTTCTGTAATTTTCCCCAGGAGCTAAAGAAACAACATGGAGGGGATGTAACGATGCAGGACACCCACACAATTCAAGACTTGAACTCCTCCAGGAGAGTTGGGGGCTGGAGCTGCTGCGGGAGCTGAACAAACCCCGTCGTTACATCTGTCCAGACACAGTCCAACTTGAAAAAGATAACAATAAGTGAGATCAATACGGCATCATTGGATCACACGGGAAATCCCAGCCTGCTTCAGGCATGAAAATCAATCATTTTGTGATATGGATTGGTAAAGTTGTCTGATGACACATTTTAGACTTATTTTACGATTTAAGTTGGACCTTGTCTGAACAGGCCCGCTAACTGCAATCAATAAGGCAGCACCCCTCTACTGTGAGTGTGGAATATCTGGCATATTATCCCCTCCACTCTCAGCTGGTTGTTATTGCTGTGAATAACAGGGACATGTTCATAATAATAATAATGTGGGACGATGTGTTTGTCATATGGAAATGTGTGTTTTTTATCAGTGGGCGTATTTAAAGGAGCATTCATATACAGGTGTAGATAAAAACAGGTTGTTGTTCAAAAACCCATTACCAGACACCAGGTTGATTTATCAGTGTTGGACTAATGGTCTGAAAGTGTCGTGTGCTCAAAATAAGTCAAAGATAACTGGTTGTGGTGAAGGTTTCTTTACTTGGTGTCTGGGACATGAATTTCAGATTTTTCAGTGACGTCACATGGACCTAAACCTTTTTCACCCAAACTCTGTGCTCTAATGCACCTTTAGGAATTCCGATGTGTTCATGGGCAAAGGAAGTAATCAAGACATTTATTTTAAGGAAACCCAGTTCTTTCTTTTATATTCATTTAACTATATATTTTGACAAAAATGTGTTCTATGTAGGTGGTCCTGACATGGACCAACATATTAATGGCATAATTTGGTGAAGTAACTCGTTACTGTTCCTCTGACAACTGGTGTAGGCGATAGCTGCAAACAAGAAGATTACAAACATTTTAAAAATCATGACTGTTTTTAATTGGACATAATAATTTTTCCACAAACTGAGACAATTCGTGGGTATTTTATGCAAGAGTACAGTACTTCTAAAATATCTTTTTCTCTATTATCTTAGTCTTAGCTTACCTCATGTTTTTTTATCTTGTATCTACATTGACTTTTTATGTAAAGTATGCAATATATGATATCATTTAGTCTTTGATAACAGAGGACATGCATTCATGATTTCACTGTTTATACATGCACATTATACATGAAACTAAAATTTCACGTATATCAATCCAACTCTGCGGAGATTCTCCCTAAATGCTAACAGTCTAAAACAGATTAACACGCCTCCTCTTGTTTCCAGTGTACTAGAATAATCACCAGCTTTTCAGTATTCCACTCAATGCCAGGAGGGGGTATGTTAATTTGTTGTTCAATTTGTTAAACTGGTTACATTCAGTGAGAGTACCTGCTGAGTTGGATTAAACTATGTAGATCAATAGTTTCACTGGGAGCATGCCCTGTGTTAAGATTGGAGTCTTGTATTTTGACCCGTCTGTGGTCTATGGGGTGTTAAAACTTACGTGGGGGAATAATGGATCACAGCCATGTTAAGACAAGGAACTATTTTGGACTGGAAATTAATTCAAATCACCAGCATATAATAATGTGGAGAGGGTGGTGGTGTTATATTATCAGGTGATAAGATGACGTGTTCCTTTTTTTTTTTAATAATAGTCCTAGCACCTGTTTCACAAAATAGCTTAAGTAAAATGTTGGTCTTAGCAAAGACCATTAAGAATTTTAGCCAACTAAATTCCATTTTGTTAAGAACCTAAAGGTCTACTTCCCTTTTTTATGTAATGACTGTAACTAAACCCTTATGAAAAGTTGTAATTGTACTGACAATGATTTTTCCCTGTCAGAGATAGCAGCAGCCCATTAAGGCACATTAAACACACATAAGAAAAGTTGACTTCATATATTCGGCTATATAAATTTTTATTTTGTTCCAAGTAGCTAATCAGTCCAAACTTAACCTCAAAACTTTCTTTTTGTGAAACGGGCTGACCTAGTGTGATAAAATTATACTGAGGGTGAATCTGCTCCCATAGTCATATTTATACCTGTAGAAAATGTAGCTCATGCATGGGAATGGATTTTATTTGCTTGTTTTGATTAAATTTGAATATGTTAATTCTCTGGTTTTGTCATTCCTTTGGTGTTGTACTTTTTAACCTCTTTTTTTCGCATTTGTTTTCTATAGTTATAGAACATGTAGTGTGTGCAAAATGTGTACTAGTAAATGTAGTGTGTAACAAATTTTAATGTCTTTCTGAATTAATTTGTTCTTTTACCTTTGCAAACCTTTTTCACTCACACTTTACAACTGTGATAATATTACTTGAGAGAAAATATAAAGAGATGGGTGTATTTTACAAATACACATTCATTCATTGGAAGGCAAACTAATATGTATATTTAATTGTTTTTGCTTTTTAGCAAATAATTTAGAACATGCTTTTTTATTTGGAATCAGTGCTATACGAACACTTGCAAAATAAACGCAAGAAGTGAAAATAACAATCATGCTTTTATTTATAAAATTAATTATTCAGTCTGAATAAAAACAAAGACAGAATTCTCACTGTTTGACTGGCTGTTTAAGAAAGACAATGTCAGTTCTGCATCCAGGAATGGTGATATCAGAAATGCTGACATCAGTATTGAGGGACTTTATCCAGTTCATGTTGCTATCCCAACAGTTGTTCTTTGTGTTTCTAAAGTACTTGGTTGCCACACTTTGGCACTAGATGGCGCCAGTGGGGGCTTACCCAGAATGACATCAGCACATTTCTCTGCGATCATAATAGTTGGAGCATTCAGGTTGCCACTGACCATACTTGGCATAATTGATGCGTCGACCACGCGCAGGTTCTTCAGACCGTACACCTGGCCGCTACTGTTCACTACCGCCATCTTGTCATCAGCGGCCCCCATCTTACATGTACATGATGGGTGATACACAGTGTCTGCTGTTGCCCTCACAAAGGCATCTATTTCAGCGTCTGTTTGGACAGAAAGCCCTGGTTTCAGTTCTGGTCCACGAAACTCGTCAAAAGCTTTCTGAGAAAATATTTCCCTGGTTAAACGCAGGCCCACGCGGAATTCCTCCCAGTCCTGCTCCATGGACATATAATTTGCATCTATAAGTGGATGATCATTGGGGTCTCTAGACTTCAGCTTGATGTGCCCCGTACTGGCAGAACGCAGGGTACCAATATGGGCCTGAAATGCATGACGATCTCCAGGTTTGCGACCATGATCGTTGAAAGTTGACGGCAAAAAGTGGAACTGAATATCAGGGTGCTGGACACCGGCGGCGCTGCGGATGAACCCCCCGACCTCCATGTGTGTGGTGGCGCCCATTCCTGAGTGGCTAAGGAACCACTGGAGACCTATACGGATCATGTTGTGAGGGAACTTCCACTGGGCAGTGTACAGGGTGATGGGCTGGGTGCACTCTTGTTGTAGGCCTATCTCCAAGTGGTCCTGAAAGACAGTGTGTTAAGAAGTTTCTTAAATTGGCGGGTAATCATCATCACGAACTGTCTTTGTAACTTTATAAACTAGGTTTGCTTTAAACCTCCGATAGCAGTTCAAGGTACTTTTCACTTGACATTTGTACATTTTCACTGCAGGTATATTACTATAGGTTTAATACTTACCTGTAGGTTCTGTCCCACTCCTGGCAGGTGCTGTACCACAGGTATTCCCAGCTCCCTCAGGTCGTCCCCGTCCCCCACCCCTGACAACATGAGCAACTGGGGGGAGTTGATGGCGCCACCTGCCAATATGACCTCCTTGGCTGCCCTGACGGTTTTTACCTGAAGGAAAACAAAATTAGAAGTACATAAATTTCATGTTACATTAATTCGAGATGAATCTTCAGATGGACAGGTGTCAAAAGTTAACGCTATCATTTAAAGTTGAGGAACATGCTCCAAATACACATACCCAACAATGCACCAGGACCTTGAGATCTGTTTCCCTGCTGATATTACTGAAGATTCTGCATATATTCCTAAACTTCAACTCACTGGTATCAATTGAGACATAACATTGCCCAATTTAAATATTTGAATTCTGGAACAAATTACCGTCTCTGAGCCATGTGAAGATTACAGTACTACATCCACTGCTGAGCCGTCAGAAGACAAAGTTGAAACCAGCTCAACAACTCACCTGAGAGTTCTGTTTATATTCCACGCCAACAGCTTTCTGTGCCTCGAACACAACCCTATGTGTCATAGTCCGGGCAGTGACAGTGAGGTTGGGCCGCCCTAGCACAGGACGGAGGTAACCCTGGGAGGCGCTCCAACGCTTGCCCTTGTGAACCGTCATATCCATTGGTCCAAAGCCTTCCTGCTGGTAGCCATTTTGGTCTGAGGTGTACGGATAACCTGCCTGCAGTCCCGCCTCTATGAAGGCCTTAAATAGTGGGTTGGTTCTATTTCCACGAGACACATGGAGAGGTCCAGCGCCACCTATGTACTCATCTTCTGCACAGTTATCATGGGTTTGAGCCTTGCGAAAATATGGCAAACAGTCTGCATAGGACCAACCAGTGGCGCCCTCTTTCTCCCACCTCTCATAATCATAGGCATGTCCACGGATGTAGACCATGCCGTTGAGAGCGGAAGAGCCTCCCCACACACGACCACGAGGCCAGTATATAACACGATTGTTCAGGCGTTTCTGAGGCACAGTATTGTAGTACCAGTTGTACTTGTCATTGCACAGGTTGTATGGCATGGCTGCCGGCATGTGGATTTTCCAGTTCCACCATTTATCCTCCGGCCCTGCTTCCAGGACCAGGACTCTGTTGTTTGGGTCTGCTGACAGCCGATTGGCCAACACACACCCTGCCGATCCTGCGCCTACAATCACATAGTCGTAGACATCTGATGGTGATGAGACAGATAGATGGCGCCTCTGTGACACTACAGGCTGCCAGCATCTCGTGATACTTGTACAGGAAGAATTGCATACTTGTCTTTGTAATTTTATGCCTTGTGATGATACTGGTAGCTGTTAATATTAAAAAAATGTGTTCAGTTGGGAATAGCTATTGAACTTTCAATACGTTTCAAGACAGATGTTGGAAATACTGGTTACAATCATATAGTGTTAGAAAATCATGTTTTCAACCATAAATAGTGGTAAAAATTAGTGTAAAAAAACTAGCTTATAAAATGGAGTAAAATATGACATTTATATGAAAAGGGAAGGACGTTTTTTCTGTATTCTAGCAAAGATACATAATTAACAAAAAAGTCAAATTCGATAGTGTTAACAACGTAGTTGAAAACTGTGGATGCACTTAATGTGAATACTTCTTCATTGTCAAAGAGTGTCTTTATAATTTCTTGAATCAAAATAAGAGTGCATGGCTATGACGATTATTATTTAGTTCAAGGACATACATGTACAGTAAAGTGAGACACTCACACATCCCACTAAAAAACCTTCAATACCTTACTTCTCCCCCCCCCCCCACCCCCGATAAACTTGTAAAGCGAAAAGAGAGTAGAGACAAGAATACTACGACTACAACGTTGTACGATAACAAGCATAATAGAATCGATGATATAATATAGATCTACGCGAACAACAACATAAACTTCACGAATCCAATTTAAGGTCATTAAGTATGAACAAAGTAATGTTATTACATATGTTGAAATCTGCTTCCGTCCTCGCTGCAGAATCCGCAGGTTAGCCATGTCGGAGTGGTTATGTAAACTGTAAGGTTCATATCTATGTCCATGTTTACATAACGGTGCCTCAGTAGGCCTACTTGGTCTCCGTTGACAGTGTTCGAGAGGTCAGTAACTAGAACTCCATAAGGCCATGCCAATATATATGAGTATACCAGTATACCTGACGATCTCTGGCGCAATCAAATCAGGTTTAGAGGTTGATCAATGCGAAGCCGTAATTGTGCTAGAGAAGAAACAGCTTCAGATGAGCTGTATCCAACACACTGACGGTTTTCCTAGGGAAAGAGGGGCGGCGGTGGGGTGGGAAGTGGCAATGCCTTATTGTTCTTTCTGCTTCACATCGCTCCGGCAGCAACACAGGGCAGTGAACTTGTAGGCCTACTGTTTATATAAAGTCTTGTTGTTTTTCAATCGTTTGTGACAGGGGAGATGTCGGCAATCAAATACATAAGCCTAAAATAATAATACTAATAATAATAATAACATTTTTATTTGTTTCCAAATCTCCTTCGTGAAAAAGAAACCCTTTTGGGTTCCATTCACCCTCGTCCGGTCTTGTTTATTTAACCGTAGAGCCTACTTTATAATACTTTTATTTATAGAACAGTAGTTCTTGGTAACCAGACTTGATTTTGAGGTTAACGACACTGGGTTCTGGTTGTCAGAGTTTGAAAAACGACAGAGATTAAGTTCAGCGTTTTTGAAAAGACACTAGCTCCTTGTTGCCAGAATCTTCTCTTCTTTTTCAAAAAACGACACTAGTTTATCTTTTGTCAGGAATGCTTTTGAAAAACGAGTCTAGTTTCTGATTCCCAGGATCGTTTTTGACAAAAAACACTAGTTTCTGGTTGCCAGAATTTTTTTTTTTTGGAAAAGTCTTCGAAAAAAGACACTAGTATCTGTTCGCCAGATTTTTTTTTTTTTTTTTTTTTTTTTTTTTTTTTTTTTTTGTAAAACAACACCACAGAGTTCCTGTTTGCCAGAATGATTTTTAAAAAACCACTTAACTGTACACAGTTCAGTGTCCTGACAGTAAACGTATGGAGAATGGCTTGGCGTTGTCTCGTTATTGATAGATTGATTGATTGATTGAGTTCCTCAAAATTTCACGACCGTGTCCTCCCTTGCATCCCTGCATATGCTAGGGTGTGTGTATGGGGGGGGGGGAGGGGGGGCGGAGGTAGATGGATGTTTCAAGTGGTTTAAGTCATACGACTTTTAAGACTTTTGGTAAGATAGATATGTTGACACCGGCACTGACTGGTTCCAGGATGTTACAAATGGGGAGATGGGCGGGGGGAGGGGAAGGGGGTGGACTTTTTCTCTCAGTAAATATAAAACAGTCATCAAGGACAATTTTACTGTGATATTTACGATGAAGTATTGGTTTTTTTGTATCGTTTTGCTCGATTTTCTTTTTGGGGGGGGGAGGGTGAGATGGGGAGGGAAGAAAGGGGGGACCTCTAAAGCAAAGGATGGGAGAACATGGTCCACTGACCTCACTGTGCCCTCCATAAGATCCGTGTGTGTGTGTGTGTGATTGTGTGTGTGTGCGCGTGTGTGTGTTTGCTTGTGTGTGTGTTCGTGTGTGTGTGTGTGTGTGTGTGTGTGTTTGTGTGTGTGTGTGTGTGTGTGTGTGGATAAGTGTGTGTGTGCGCGTGTGTGTGTTTGCTTGTGTGTGTGTTCGTGTGTGTGTGTGTGTGTAATCTGTGTCGGCGTTACATTATATAAGTCTTTATTTGCCTTTCATATCGTTATTCTCCTACTGGTTATAACAAGATAACAAAGATGAAGATAAATGTTCACTGACTCAATTATATACAAAGCGAGATCTGGAGCAAAAATAAAAAGCCGTCTCCAAGACATCTGGACACCCTCCCCCTCCACAATACCTTGTTTTCAGCACCATTATAAATAGACTTCGAGAGTTCAGAACTGACGGTCAAAATCTGGTAACTGGATTTACTTCCTTTCATGCAGAGAACCTGATTATAATCATTGGTTTGAATAAGCAGTAATAAAAAGAACTGAGTGAAACCATTTCTGGCTATCAAGTAAACATTCGTAGCTGCTACGCCAGTCTTTGAAGCTGAAAGGATATAAATATTTTTTGCGTTTAATATTATGGTCATTTAATTTGCATCAGTACTTGAATTACACGTAAGCTTACACAAAAGGGGATCTAATAACAGATGTCCAGAAACAGACACACCCTTCCTCGTCTTAATACATGTATCTACACATTAATTGGGCCACAGAGGGCAGCACTGGGAAAGTCCGATGCGTTTATTTTTTAACGTAAAATAGATAAAACTAGAAAAGCACTCAGAGAGCGCAGACCTCCGCCAAGGGAGGAAAGTCTCCATCCAATGCCGTTTTACCCCTAGATTTTCATTCTATAATGATTTAGTTTTTTTTTTTTATTTTTTATTATTGATTATTGGTTGATTATTGATCCGGATCACCACCAAAAACTAACCATCTGTTCCTTGGCCCCATTCTGACAGTTCCAGAAAAATTCAATCAAAATCGGTCCATAACTTAGTTTTTTATTTTTGATTATTGACTGATTATTGACCCAGATCACCACCAAAATCTAATCACTTCTAAGTTAACCGATTTCTGACCTACCCTAAAAATTCCATCGAAATTCAGCCATAACTTTTTGAGTTATGTTGATGACAAACAGACAGACAGACAAACAAACAGGGGTGAAAACAACCTCCTTGGCGGAGGTAATAAGAAATATTAAACTAACAATTGTTTTGAGGCAATTTTAATTTTGTTTTAACAAACACACATTTTAATATGTTCCTTATGCAGAATACATACATCTAAACTACTACCTCTGTGTCAGTTATTGAACTTATCACACACGTATGAGTTGCAGAAGATACAGGTATATCTAATAATGTAAACGGAGGTGTAGATTGCCAATTAAAATGAAGCTGATGTCGGTAACTCATTCAAAATACAGAACATAGCACTCAAACTTGCACAAAAGTTTACGAGCATCACGGAAGGATTTATTGGGGAGGGGAGGGGAGGGGCAGGGGCCATCCGTGCAAACTGAAGCACGGGAGCCACCGTGGGATAATGCTCGCCTGCCACGCGGGCAGTCCGGTGTCATGTACCAGAAGGTCCCCCATGAGAGATAGTCCGTAGGACCCCTGGTTTCTGAAATAACTGGTCTCGGACTCTGTATCATGATAATTAGGTATAATATACAGGGTCCCCCAGACCCTGCATTTAACCGGACCCTACGTTTGATGATACCGGTATTGATATTACTCACGCTCATTAAACGACGAAACGTCTCAAGCAATGTGAATAAATTATAATAATCTTGAAGCTCCCGCCTAGAAATTATCTGCTCTATTTATTCATGATTTTAGACGAGACTACGCCTTTCCTCGTGGTAATTTCCACAAGATTCCACTTATCTTTTTTAATTACCCTCAAAACTAAATTTTATATACAATGTAGTGACCTTCACGTCAGTCGAAGTCAAGTAAAGTCCGATGCGTGTAATTCTTAAAAATAAAAGATATAATATATATATAGCATTTGCTTTGATGCTGTTAAAAACTTGCGGAAACAATTCGAAAACTGGAGTGAAGGAGAGGTAGCCAATGTTATTCTCGGAAATGATGATAAGAAAATAAATCTACTAATTTCTTAGGTAAAGTAATACATTTACAGAAATTCAAAAAAAAAAAAAAAAAAGGAGGGCATCCGTAATCCAGGGAGATCGAATGTTTTCTGAACTAAAAAAATAATTCTTTGCTTGTCTTTATACATGTATGTATTTATGTTATACAGTACAGTAGTTACATATATGTAGCTCGCAATAAAGTGGCATGGTAGGTATACGGATATGTGTGTATGCGTATGTTTTTGAGAAATGTGTATGTGAGAAGTGATATGTATTTTATTGTACATTGTAATGTTTATTTCTTAAGTCTAATTAACGAAAATATACATTCTATTTCGAGATATACATCTTTAATAATCCTTACATAGAATACATTGATCATATGTTACTGAACATATGCATGTCAAACTACTGTCTCTAAAAGTCAGTAATTAAACTCATTACAGGCATCTGTAAGTAGCAGGAGAACGAGATCATGATGGGTAATTTAAACGAATCTGCAGATTGTTACTTTTCATGAAATTTGTATTTGCAACTTATTCGAAATAGAGAAAATGTTGGCACACACTTCTAGAAAAGTGTACAACTACCAGGGTGGTTTTATTGCGTAGTGGGTCGAGGGGGGGGGGGCGATAGAGAGTTCAAGGCCCATCTCGCCATGCCTATAGCTTAAGTTTACGTCTGTCTCTGTGGTTTAGGGGTACAGTGGTCGCCTGCTTCGCGGATTAGATTCCTGACACATTTGGAAAACATGAGACCGAGTTCTATCTTAAGAAATGTACTATTCTTAACATCATCTACTTTCCAGGGAAGAAATTTTAAGCTTACGGCAGCTGTGGACAATATGTCTACTAATAAATTACCGAGATCTTTAACAATATAGGGCCGTTCAATGAATTTTGTTCTAGTCATTTCCTAAAAGTCCAGCTTAGGGCGTTTTATGTTTATCTTGTTTTTTTTCTAACTAGTGAAATAACATAAAAATTAATTCAGCAAATAAAATGCTATTGAAATATAAATATCGGGAAATGTTTTCATTTGAGATATAAAACTAAATAAAGAACTGAATATTATAATATTTATAAGCTAGTCTTAAAAGTGAAATTAAAATATTAGATACTTAGAGAGAAAAAAAAAACTACTTAAGAACATTTACTCCCCTTAAAATCAGAAGTCTAATATTGCTTGGTGAGAAATAAAAAAAGAATTTGCTGAATGGATGGGATCCCTATAATTCGTTTTATTGTTTTCTCCATTCTGTCTTCATGATCCCATCCAGTTGGGGGACTTTTTATATACTGGCGGTGTTAATAACATTGAGATGTTATTTGCCGTTCCTGCTCTGTAGGCTTGTAACACCAGATGCTCAAATACTTTCAATAATACATGTGTAAAAGTTCATTAAAACGGGATCATTGCCTTTAAAAGTTGTAAGGGATTAAACAAACACAGTCTTTGTCAAAAATAAATTTACTTTTCATGTGAATTTCCAGTATACCGATATCTATTGTATTAAAGCACGAACATA